ACCAATGCAAACTCTAGAGAATTACTTCTGTTAAGGTGAATTTTTCCACAGATGACAAAGGCAAATGAAGTGACTGCCACAGCAAACATCCCACTTCTGTGCTAAAGCAGCAAGGAGACCAGAATCTAAGAGCAGGCAGAGTTACTCTGGTCGTGGAAAGTTCCCAAACATCCAATATGGAGGCACTGGTACTGATTCTACATTTGCTCGAGCAGAGTGTGATACAGTAGAGACCTGGACCATGGATGGGTAAACACATCACAGATTGTTAGAAACAACACTACAGGCCTGGGCCTGATGGTTTTTTTTTTTGCGATCTTTTAATTTTAAAAACGGGGGGCGGGGGAGGGGAATGTGGGGTGTTAGCGTGGGCATTATATACGTTTACAAAGCTTTCATTTACATAAAGCTCTTGTTGGAACACATCTGAGTCTTGCTTTGTCAAAAATGCTGGAATTAGGTCCAACTCTTTTGCTGAAAAACAAACAAATAATAAAGAAAAGAAGAAATGCAAACAACAGAGAATCCCTATCCCTGATGAGGTTTATAATTAATAATCTTTACAGAACAAGCATGTTATTGCTCAGGATCCTAGGGAGATTAAATTGTGATTTCATGTGCATTCTGAAGTCTTGTACTTTCAATTTGCACATAAACAGTATCAGAAAGGAATATTAATCCACTGGTAAAGTGCTGAGATATGCAGCATATTTATTTCTAGTAATAATGCATAAGCAGAAACAAGCCTTGCTTAACTTTAATCTTCAACAGGGATCTAACAGAATTGGCAATTAGGAGAAAAAAAGCACTGCTTTTACTTGTATGTCAAACAACTTCTCTCTACTGAGGCCCAAAAGAAGCAAAATTGTATGTGGTCATGTTCACTGTTCAGAACAAAATGACATTTTAAGAAAACTTTGGAAAAAAATAGTATTAAATATGCACCAAATTACAACCTAAACTGGTAAGCCATACCTATGCAAATGCTGTAAAAAAACAGAATGCCAACTTTCATCTGAAAGCAGGGGAATTCATAACAATATGGCTTTCCCACTCCACATCAGACTAAAAGTAACATCTTATAAAAGTTAAAATAAGGTTCACAGAGGAAACCCCTTATGTATTTTGCAAGGGCTAACCTGTCCTTCCTCAGAAGGAAGGTCTTCCTGCATGGAGATCTTAGTAAGTGATAATATTCAAATAGCTACTACAGGACATGCTCAGTGCTTTACTGAGTCAGTGCCTTAAGAATAAACTGTCAGGGCAATGACTCTGAAACACTCCAATGAGATCTAACTTACTTTCACCTAAGTGGAAAGATTCCCCATTCACTTCAGAGGATATTAGATCAAGCCTTATGCTTCTCCCTTCACCTCAGTTCAAGACAGATGAATTAACTGCAGCGTCTATGCAGATTTTCTTGAGCATCAGTTATCCATGAGAAGAACTCAGCTTTGTTATTTGAAATTATTTGACAAGTTAACTACACAAATAAACTTCTGTAAACAAATTCCTTGGACGGTGTTTTCTGTGACTTCTGCTTAGAGCTGTCATTATTCTGGACAGAGATTCAGGATCAGGATTTAGAGTTTCTGAAAGAGAACTGTTTCCACTACTCAATGTACAAAGACATTCCATGGTAGATATAAGAAGGTTTTCTGTATGAATACTCATGATCATATGTATTAACCCAAATGTTCTGGGTACCATCTCGCTGCAGGAGTGCTTAGGGAATCGGAACTGATATATGCAGTTATATTAGGGCACATGAAAGAACAGGAGGTTCTATATAAACATAAGGAAACACTTTTTTACCATGAAGGTGACTGAGCACTGGCACAGGTTGCCTAGAGAGGTTGTGGAGTTTCCATTCTTGGAGATACTCAAAAGCTGTCTGGACGTGGTCCTGGGCAGCCTGCTCTAGTTAACCCTCCTTGAGCAGGGGGGTTGGACAAGGCGACCTCCAGAGGTTCCTTCCAACCTCAACCATTCTGTGATTCTGTTTATTGGATTCACCAATTCCTGAACCACCTTTTTGTCTCCCTGGAGTACTCTGCATCAGAGTCTGTAAACATCAAACTGCATAATTTTTCCAAAATATATGTTCACACCATTAAGTTACCTTAACTTTAGCAGAGGTCACACTAAAGAACTTCTCCTCAAATGCCTGTAAGAAGTCTGCATTCAGGTAGGTGTCCACGGTGGTCTGTGCATCTAAGAACTTCCGGATGATCTCTTCATTATAGTCTTCAAAATCAGAGTCAAAGATGAATTGTTTGGTCTGTGCCAATACTTGGAACTTGAATCTAATGTTGACTGGAGAGCCAGCATTACAGCTGGTATTTGGCAGCGATTTCATCTGGAGTAAAAGCTTGGGGAGGAATGCTTGCAATTTCTGTTTCAGAAGCACTGTGGATGCTGGCTGCATGCGCCTTGAAGTATCAATTGCTGTAGAAAGATCTATGTCGCAATCTGAAAAAAGTAGAAGAAACAGGAAATTATAAACATACACTATTTGTGATCTTGTCTTTTGTCAGAATCATGGGAGTGGAATAAAATTGAATATGGTACATTTAAAACCAGAAGTCAGAATCAGTGAGACAGGTTTTCCATAAATATAAAAAACCATCAGCCCACCAGTTTCAGTAAGGCTATGTGAACTTGCAGATACTAAGGACTACATTACTGGACATATGTACATACCCAAACTGCAAAACAGGTCACTGTTCTCCAGCTGTCAAATGTCCTCAAAGGGCATAATCTTGCAAATGTTTCCATGAGCTTTGCTACCAACTGAGAATGTGCAACACATATTCCAATTGCAATGGGAAGCTTTATGGCTGACTGTGCTTCATCACTTTGTCACAAGACCAGATGATACATACAAATGTAGAACAACAGGCCAAAGAAACAAACGTGAGAGAAAGAGGCACCATTGCCTACATGCAATGTCATATATCCACTGTGAATAACAGCTGCTGTAAAGTGAGGACTACCTTAGTTATGGAATTGCTTGCACAGCTCCTGATAATAACAGCAAATACTGCTATGTGGTTAATTCCTCCCCCCTCTCCAATTATCTTGCCCTCATCAAGCAGCTAAACCACTTGGCTTATTTCTTTCGTACCTTGATTCTTCATGTGTCATGCTGAATTTTATTCTGTGCCCCTGGATGCGTTATCATCCATTGTTGTACCTCTGCAAGGAAGTCAGAGGCATGCAATTTTATCTGTAAAACAGCACTCTCCCTAATTTTGTTCCTTCTTCACCCATTGACTCTGAAACACTTATCAAACACAAGGTTGTTTTCCAAGTTTGCTAGTTTGGACTAGTTCCTATAGACCGTTATTCCATATAAGTTTCATTACAGTTTTCTGGAGTTTCCCTCACTTGTGAAAAAGATCAATGTGTTCAGCTCTTTAACCAAACAAATCCAGAAATAATTTCATCTCAGAGCAGCCATCATTATGTTTCAGTATTTTCACTTGCGGTGCAAACTGCCCCCTAGAGGGTATGATTTGCATGCAGCATGAAAATCTTTAAATGTAAAAGGTCATGTTGAATAAGTTTTCATGGCTAAAAAATCTGACATTCAGGCCTCAGAGCAACATAAGAAATCTATACAGCTTTTCTGTTTAGTCCACAAGAAAAAATTTCTCTTAAACAGTTAAATATATCTATACACACATATATGTCTACACACACACCCCTCAGTCACGCCCCTTAGCCAGGTTGTGAGGCTGCACATCTGATTTCAAGATTCACAGAACACTTGTGATGCGAAGGCCGTCATCAGTTCAGGGAACAGCATTTTTCTAATTGTGAGGGATGTTTCTGAGTAAACATTTCCATGAACATAAAATTTATTGGATATTTCTTCCAGTATGTGTTCATGTCCAGTACACACACAGTATGTAGTATGTTTTCACAACGAGATTTTTCTGAGATCCGGGTCTTCTTAACCACATAATTTGGAGGGAGTGCGAAGGGCAACCATGGGCTTGGCAGTTTAGCCCTGACAATTGGTCAGCCACACTGCCTAGCTCTTAAAACATACCCTGCCAACTCCCTAGCATACCAACAATAATACCAAAACAGCAGTAAAGCATTCAGTTTTGTGCTACTGTGTTGTTCTTGAGAATGTGTAAAACAGCTTCTGGTAGATACTCCATACTCTGTTGATAATCTGTATTTATTTGCAGGAGTAAACACCTCTGTGTACCTAACCTCTTTTTCTAATCACCTGTTCTCCCACACACATCCACATTTTCAAACTGCCCTGTCTTACTGATGCAAAGGTATCTTTTCCCCCTGTTGACTTTCTGTACCTTGAATGCAGTTTTTTAAATTTGAAAAATCTGGCTGTTTAAGAGAAGGTGACTGGAGAAAGAGGAACTAATAGATTTATTACAGGAAAGAAGGTCAGCAAAAATAAGAAAACAGATGACAGGACAAGACAAAACAGGCTTCACAGGAAGTTGATCTTTGTTTATGAGACAATTTTATGCAGAATTTAACAATAAAAACATGCATCAGTGAGATCAAAGCCAATATGCTTTCCTTAACTCCTCTCTCTCTAGACAAGCGTGCCTGTATATATATATATATCAAGTTTACTGCTGCATCTCCCATTAAATCTCCCTGTTCTCTGGCCATGAAACACCAGGAGGTGCTACTGCATCAGCCACGGTGATGCTGTTCCATGGCAGTGCACCCCCCCTCCACAGCAGCCCTCTCTCTCTCTGCTTTCAGGAGCCGGTGGATGCCTTTTCAGCTGGAGGTTTGCTCAGCTTTTGATGGGAAAAACAGGGAGTGAGGGTGCAGAGCTCATACTGAAACAGGCCCAGCTGTCCTCCTCTCTGAAAACCACCTGAGCAGATATAATTCACACAGAGAGTAGCTTCTGGCTTTAGGAGAGAAGGCTCAGCTCTTCATTTTGGCCCCCAACACCCTGGCAAACACCAGCCAGTTTTGCTGTGTTTAAGGTCTCAGGAGCCCAGGGTGCAGGAGAGGCAAAGTTACCTATTTGTTCAGCTGTTGTTACAAAAACTCTCAGACAAGCAGTGTGGTCACCCCAGTGTTTCTTTCTCACAGAAGTTTCTGGTCACTAAGGGAATGAAATCTGGAGAGCTGGGTAGGATCAGTTTTATGGCATAACAAAGAGAACAAAAAGCATGTATCCAACACAAGTAAAACATCACCTATATGGTGAAAACACAGAGAAGACAACAAGGAGTTTTAAAGGACAGTCACAGTCCCTGTAAGGATGGGCACAGAGAGAACTTCTCCAGCACTGTCTCTTCCTGCTATCCCCAATCAATGCCATCCACTTACACCACAGGAGGTCCCCATCACGTTCAGTGGCGGAAGAGCTCAGCTTTTTGATTTGTCATTCACTACATTCTTCTTTTGCAACTTAAACACATCTACAGTATTATCTTACTACATAACTGGCATGAATATGGAATTTTAAAGAGCAATTGTGTATGTTTTCTGCCTCAGTCTTCCCACCTTACAAGGTGACTGATACTGCTTGGTGCTCTAAGTCGGAATAAACTCAGATACAAAAACAGCATCTGACATCTGATAAAAGTTGCTACATTAATCAAAGGCAATACTGAACCTTTATTTTCTTCAGGGTTCAGAGCCTCTCAGGCTGTATGGCATCCAAGCTACTGTTGCCACTACTACTACCACCGAGAAGATGTAGTAAGAGATACCACCTTCTGTTTCTTATATAGCACAAGCTTTTGGGTAGCATCTCAGCATTACTATGGATTTGCTGCTCACACCTTGCCAATACCTCCCACATATCCAAGGGTGGATTTTCCCACACCCCTTCTCCATAGTGCCTCTGTGAGACTTAAGTTTTGTCAACAGTCGCTGCTGACAGTCCCATTGAAGCAGTATGGTCAGCTGTAGATGACAAAGCTAGGTTTTTGGAAGGCTCTTTTTTAAATATCACTGAATTGTCTGTTTCTCTCTTTTGATTAGGATACCTTGGGCATATCTGCTCTGGCTCCTTTCAGACACTGAGGAGCTATGAATACAAATGCTAGATGTGAAGCACTGTCTCACCTCAGAAGCTATTTATCATAGCAAAGAGTGTAATGGTTCTTGACTGAAGCAAGGTGCAAGTCTAGAAAGTTGCAAGACTGAGTAACCTGAGCAGTAATCTTCAGTAAAACAGTTGCATTGGTGTCCAGCTAGCTCAGGTACTTTTATCAGGGACCGCATGTAGCCATGTGGATATTCGCCATTATACACCCAACAAAACGTTTATGTTACTTACCCTGGCTAGGAAGATCTTCAGATTCACAGACCTCATTGACAATACTCCTCTCAATGGTTTCCAGTGCATCAAAGTTTTCCACTGTGAACACTCCTTGCATCATCAGCTATTAAAAGCAGCTCAAAGGAGTTTATAATCCCTATGCCAACTGCAAAGACATGGATCCCATCGCTTCTCAAAACCATTGCTGCATCCTCCACCCTGTCAGCAGAGTACCTGCCTGTAATCACTACAAGGTTCTGTGAGACTCCTTGGCTCTTGCAGCCTCCATTGGCAGGCTGAAAAAGGCTCTGGACAAGCCTCAGCCATTTGCCAGTGAATATAGAGGACTGCAATTGCTCGATTCTGTTGATTTGTTCTTTTATCATGGTCAGTATAGAACTCATTAAGAGAAAATTCTTTCTGGGGCTCTTGGCTGTACTGGACTACTCCAACATGTACTTTGTCCCTAGAAGTAACAAAGCTGTCCACAACTTCCAACATGAAGGTGTCATGACAGAAAAGTTACTTTTTGATATAACTTCCAACATGAAGGTGTCATGACAGAAAAGTTACTTTTTGATATGCTTTCTGATCCATCTATCAGGAATACCAGATCTGCCACTTGACTGCTGCAAACTTAGGGAAAAAGCAGAGGGGAAAACAAACAAACAGAAACCCCCACCCACCCAATTAGTGAGGAACATAACCTTGTCAGTGTTTAATCTTTTTCTTGTTCTCTGCAGTGTAAACCTTTAGTCATAGAAGCTGTTCACAGCAAGGCCATGCAAGGCCAACCCATAGATGGCCCATGCAAGGGCCATCTATCCCACTTCAACACAGAGACTTTCTATGCATAGATAAAATCCATCCTTTTCCACTATTAACTTGCAGAAAAAGCCACAGATCTTTATGTATCACCAGCTGAGAGAGTCATAACAACACAGGGCTTGTAACCAAAGACAAACCCTCAGCTGAGGGAGGACAGACTTTATCTACCAGTAAGTCAGATTAACTGCCCCACTCACCACACTCAACCTCTTGCTACCTGAAGGGCCACTGTGAGGAAGAACAACACTTGAACTGCATGACTGCTGTGGAGAAAGACAGCATGTTGGTACCCCTGAAGTGGAAGGAATTCCTGCCAGTCATTTTCATTGCAGAAGCAGAGTTCCCTAACCTTTTTATTGGCAATGCATCATAGCTTTGTGCAGAGTAATCTTTCTTCACCTTCAGCAATCTCTTCAAGTTCTGCTCTGCTTGCTTTGTTCACTCCAACAGCAGTTAAGTTGATTTCACCTCCCTTCAAAGCTTTTATGGCCATGGGAAGGTTGGCTCTATCCAATGGTGCTGTTGGTTCTTCAGGAATAGGGATCCTGGTGACAGCAAGGAAAGATGCACGCCCACCCTAGTTCACACCAAATCTCTGCCTGGCAAAGCTCAAAGCTCTTGCTGTGAAGGGCTGACCTGGCAGAGGCTTCAAGTTGAGTACTGCTTCTCTACTCTGAGACCCAGAGTAGAGTTGAAACTTGAAATTTATACACGCCAATCACTGAGTCATTAACTACTGCTTCTATGAGGCACTGCACATTTTTGAACTGCAGGCCTGTAACACCAGATGATCCATGCACTACATAGGGGCTATTGGACCCCTAACCCCTAAGCCTGGCCCTAACTCCTAACTCCGACCCCTGACTGTGACCCCCCACCCCCTGACCCCAACCCCTAAGCTTGACCCCTGACAGTGACCTCTGACACCTGAGCCTGACCCCAGACCTGGTTCTAAGCAGGTGAGCTCTTACCTTGATGATATTTGGGTCAATCACCACCAGAACTTCATAAACTTCACTAAAACCTTTCTGAATGTTCATCTCCTCTTGCATTAAGTGCAGATGGTGCACATACCAACAGCAAGCCTGGCAGCTCTGAAACGACAATTATCTATGTACTTCTTACCTTTTTTCATACTTCGCAACTGTAATGGGACTACAAACGTTTTTTTCACAATCTCATTACAAAGCTGTTTCTTTATTTTCCATCCAATATTTGACAGCTGTAGAAAAAAATTCAGGGTGGTGACATGTTTCCTTGGGGAATAAGTTGCAATTTTATCAAGATTGCTACTCTCTGGTATTCTGGATGCCCACAGCATAGACAGTAATACCTTTATGTCTTAGTTTAGATGCTGCTTCAGTATAATCATCCAAGGACTGGCCATTGGTGATAACCACAGCAATTTGCTGCGCTCCTTGTTTTTTCCTGCTGCCTGCTTCTTGAGTAAAAACCTTCTTCCTCAGGAATTCAATGGCATTTTGGACATGAGGAAAAATTTCTTTACTGAAAGAGTGGTTAAACATTGGAACAGGCCGCCCAGGGAAGTAGTTGAGTCACCATCCCTGGAGGTATTTAAAAGACATGTAGATGAGGTGCTTAGGGACATGGTTTAGTGGGCATGGTGGTGTTGGGTTGATGGTTGGACTCGATGATCTTAGAGGTCTTTTCCAACGTTAACGATTCTATGATTCTATGGCTGCTCCAGTGTATGTTTGCCCTCCTTGATATGGTAAGTTCTTCAAGCAGTTCAGGTTTTCCAATTTATCCTTGAATGTGTCCAGGGTGAACTCTAGCCTCAGTTCATTACTGTACAGCACTAGCCCAACTCTTACATTACTCGGACCAATATCTAGGGCATTAACAATTTTTAACAGAAAGGCCCTTATCAGCTGGAAGTTTTTTGACCTAATTTTGCTGGATTCATCCACAAGAAACAACATCTGCAACAGTTGCACTGGAACACACTAACAGCAAAGTAAACAAAAGGAAGATAAGATTAATGTAGGTCACACCATGGGATAATTGGTGGGACAATCAGAATAGGTTGTTACAAAAAGGATCATCTCAAGGTAATATGCAAGATGGTGCTACAATAAAACATGAAATCTAAATCCCTATCAGTGCTGAAGAGCAGATATTTATATATTGATTTTCACAGTAAAAGAAATCCGTGAAATAAACACTATACCTTAACCAGCCCCTTACCCACACCACAGGAAAGTCTGCAAGACAAATGCTTTTCTCACTCTCCTGCAGAGTGACTGCTAATCAGGACACCCAAGGATATTAGGGAAGTTATTTTGTGGTTAAATACAAACTCTCCTATGGCAATTTTCTACAAACAAAATTTAAGCAAAATTGTCCTGTCAGTCAAACAGGCAATTCCACTGCAGCCAACCCCTCTAAACCACTGCCCTGTTCCCCTTAGTTAATACAGGTAATTACAACAAACTGTGCATAGGCAAGTATTGTCACCACCCTGACAAAGGTGGTAAATATTTTGTCAATATAGCACCTCTGTAAAAGCAGAACTGCCAGCCATTTGCACTCTGTTCTTCCCTCACAGCCACCCGAGAAGTTGCCCTGGATTACTAGCAAGTTAGAAGCTACTTGGGCTGCTGTTTTCACTCTGGTGATACATTGTACCTGCTGGCCCACTTGATTGGATCAAGGTCATAAAGCTTCTGAAGTGAGGCTTCCATATCACTGACAATATTTTGCTGGAGAAGGTCAATGCTCTCCCCTTCATAAGTCTGGGAAGTCATGCTAGAGGATGCTCTCACCTTTTCTTCTTCCTCGAAGTATCCAGCATCAACTGAGACAACTTTTACCCCCACCTCTTCTAACATCCAGGCTGCCTCCATGATATTGTCTCTGGATTCAGAGGGTGTGATGACCACTACAGCCTGTGGAGTGCCTTTGCTGAGCCAGCTTCCAGCACCATCCATGAAAAAGGTTTCCTGCAAAAACTCTATGGCACTTCCAGACTTTGATGAGCCTCCAGTGAATGCAATGCTCTGCTGGATGTGGTCAAGCACCTCTTCTTTATTTTCATGTGTGTTCAGTAAAAACTCCACCTGTCCTATGCCACTAAACTAGGCTAGGCCAATCCTATACTTGTTAAGCCCAACATCTAGCTGTCTGACTATTTGGGAAATGAAATGTTTTACTTTCCCAAAGGTTGAAGGCCTCATGTTCTCAGTGGAGTCAGTAAGGAAAATGACATCAGCATATTGTTTTGCAAATGCTGCATAGAGGGGGAAAAAAGTGACAGATGAGTTGCCAAAAGTAATACAGTCAACCTATACCCAGACCTGGCTTTGAATGTAAGCTAAATGAAAATTATAACCTTTTCATCATCTCCACAGTCTTAAGTTTAGACTGAAGTTTTAAGTCTACAGCATACCATTAAGCATGCTATATAATCGCTATAATTCTGTATTTTGACAAATTAAACAAAGAATTCTAGTGAAACTAGCTCTGCAAAAAAAGTCCTAAGAAAAATGTCTTGAGAAACTCTACATCTGACAGTATTTATGCAGACAAAAGTTTCATCTTCCTCCCACTGAATCTTCAGTGAGATTGCATGCTTTACCATTCCATTCCCCTGATACTCCATTAACCAAGGTCTTCTACATCGCTACTGGAATCTAGGTTGCATCTAAGAACTGGACCTATGTGAGCACTTCAGAATACACTTACCTTCATAACAACCCCATGAGGAGTTGCTCCAAAGGGCAGACAGTCCCTCTGAATATCAGAGAACATGAACAAATTAATTCTACTTCACTTACAGTCCGTGAAAACAGATATGCATACCCGGAGCGCACACCAGATGCAAGACAAATGAAACTGGATCTAAACGCGTCCTTCAGTGTAACAGTTTCTGATGGAGAAGGGGATTAAAGCCAAGTGGCTAACTACGAGCATAGTCTCTAACACCTAAACTTTTCTCATCATTGAAAAAAACGAGTTGAAGTATCCACACTGACCTCTGCAAAACCAGAAAAAAAGTTTCCTTTTTAAATTATAACTATGTTACATTTTAAACTTTTATCATTGTTTTAAACCCCAATTTTTTGTTTTGATTTTAGTTTTGCTACCATGCCTCTTTTATATCCCTCCCCCTTTCACCATTCAACAATAACAGTCCTTGAAGAAACAGGGAAAATACATTTTCTGTTAATTTTGCTGTTCAGCAAATGCATCAAATCATAGAATCATAGAATAGTTTGGGTTGGAAGGGACCTCTAAAGGTCATCTAGTCCAACCCCCCTGCTGTGGGCAGGGACATCTTCAACTAGATC